GCACCGCGCTGATCCGATGGCAGGAGCCAGGAGCCAGGTGCTTTTCCTGGTCTCCCATGGGGTGCAGGGCCCAAGCACCTGGGCCATCCTCCGCTGCACTCCCTGGCCACAGCAGAGGGCTGGCCTGGAAGAGGGGCAACCGGGACAGAATCCGGCGCCCCGACCGGGACTAGAACCCGGTGTGCCGGCGCCGCTAGGCGGAGGATTAGCCTAGTGAGCCGCAGCGCCGGCCTCTCTTTCACTTTTTAAAGATTTATTTGAAAGAGTTCAAAGGAGAGGCAGAGAGAGAGAGAGAGAGAGAGAGAGAGAGAGTGTGTGTGTGTGTGTGGAAGGTCTTCCATCCGCTGGTTCACTCTCCAGATGGCCGCAACCACCAGAGCTGTCCCGATCCGAAGCCAGGAGCCAGGAGCTTCTTCCGGGTCTCCCACGCTGGTGCAGGGTCCAAACACTTGGGCCATCTTCTACTGCTTCCTCAGGCCATAGCAGAGAACGGACTGGAAGAGGAGCAGCCGGGACTAGAACCGAAACCCCTACGGAATGCCGGTGCTTCAGGCCAGGGCTTTACCCCGCTGCGCCACAGCACCGACCCCAGGGGTACCTCTTTAAACACTGCTGCAAATAAAAACTACCTGCTGAGTTACTTCCGAGCCAGCTCCTTGCTAGCAGCTCCCTGCTAACCCCGGGAAAGCAACACAAGATGGCTCGGGCGCTTGGACCCCTGCACCACGTGGGAGACCCGGATGTAGTTTCTAGCTCCTGGCTTCGGCCTGCCCAGCCCTGTCTCTTGTGGCTAATTTGGGGCGTGAACCAGCTCTCTCCTCACCCCAAACCCCTAGGTAACTCTCTCTTTCAAATAAATAAACTTTCCTTGTTTGTTTTAAAGACTTTTTTATTTCTAAGGTGGAGACAGACCCCAGCCCCTTGTTCGCTCCGCCAGGGCCCGCAGAGGGAGGCGGAAGCTGGGAGCCGGGAACTCCATCCGGGTCTCCCGAGGACTTGCGTCTCCATCCGGGTCCCCGAGGACTCGCGTCTCCATCCGCCTGCTGCTGAGAGGCATTGGCGGGAAGCCGGGTCGGAAGCGGAGCCGCGGCGCTCCAACGCCCACCCACCCAAATACTGCTTTTCAAGCGCGCATTGTCAAGGGATCGAAGGGGACGTGAGTACGAGGGCGCGCTCGCCCCACGTGGCACTTAGGTGGAGCCTGGCTGAGACCCCTTAAAAACTCGACTTCTCTCAGGCTGGTCAGGAGCGGGGAGGCGTGGGCCCTGGGGGACTGGGGCTGGGGGCCGGGGAGGCCGCGGGCCCGCGCCAGCCAGAGTCCCGGTGTTCCAGAGGCTTCCGTAACTGTCCGGGCCGCAGGTATGGCCGACGGATTTCTTTTCCTTCCCTCGATGGTTCAGGCTCGCTCGTGGGCTCCCCAGAGCCCAAAGCAACGCCCGCGGAAGCCCCGGTCGCCGCTCAGGCTTCCAGCGACGCCCCGGGCGCCGGCCGAGGCCTTTCCAGCGCGGCGACCCCGGCCCCGCGCGTGGGGCGTGCGCGGCGCGGGGCCCGGGCCGGGTGGCCTCGGGCCAGCCCGGCCTCCCGCGGCACGCTCCGCGCACAGCCGCGAGGCGCTGTCCTGAGGTGACACCGGCTGCAGCGCGGAGGCAGCCGGCGCCGCCGATCAACTAGTTCGCACCGAGGATTCCTCTTGGTGCGTGGCCCAGTTTTCCTTAGGACGGGCTCCAAGCCCTCCCTGACACCGCCCCCCGCGCCGCCACGCTCCGAGGCCTTCCCCGGGGAAGCCGCGCGTCCCTCCCCCGCGGCTCCGCGCGATTCCTCGACTCCACAGGCGGTTCGCGCGGCGGGGGGGCGGGGCGCGCGCGGGGCGGGGGCCGGGGCCCGGGGGCGGGGGCGGCCGGCGTGGGGAGTTCCTCGCTCGCGGACCACACGCTCCGCGGGCCAATCCCGAGCCAGCCTCTGGCAGTGTCGCACGCGGGACACGTCCCAGCGTTTGTTGGCAGGGCCCCGGGAGGGGGAGGGGGCGAGGCGGAGAGGTGGCGGGGGGTTGAGTGACAGGCGTCGCGGGGCAGGCTGGGAATTGTAGTTCCCAGTTTCTGTGGCCATAGCCATTTTGTAGTCGGGGGACTACAACTTCCAGAAGATCAAGGGGACCATTCTAAGGTGCCCCGGGAATCGGCGGCTGTCCCCGGGGCCGGGCGTCCTGGGGCACTCGCACCCAGCAGCCCGGCTGCAGGTGGACGCGAGGGCAGTGGCGGGGGCTGGCGTCTGGCGGCCGTGAGGTGAGCGGCAAGCTGGGGAAAGGGGGTGAGGTGGAGCGACCGAGCGTGCCATGCATTGAGCTAGGGAGCTTCTCTCAATTCCACTCCCGGGCTCGGCGTGGGAGCGCTGCCGGAAGGCTGGCGTGGGAAGGGTTCTTCGAGGCCGCTCGGGCGTCCAGTCGACGCGGCCACGGGAGTCCTTCGGCCTGGGCCGGGGCGGTAGGCTCCGCAGGAGGCATGCGCCCGCTGGCTCGGCTGTGGGAGTTTTCGGCTGGCGTCCGGCCGGGAATTAGCCGAGGAGCCCTAAGTTGTATAAAAGCAGAGTCCATTTAAAGTTGGGCTGGATAGCCCGTCTCTCATTGGTCGGGGGGCTTGGAAAAAAGAGACTCGGCGAGCCCTCGCCGTGGTGCCGCCGCCGCCGCCGCCGCCGCCGCTGGAGTTGACTCTTCTGCTCGCACTGCCGCTGCAGCGCAAACGTGACTTCAACATTTTTTATTTATCTTTCCCCTTTCTTTTCCAAGATGTAACTACAGATAAGACACTAAGGACCTTCGCGTTTCGCCGATGTAGTTTTTGGAGGAAAAAGGGGGGGAGTGAAGGGCGTCGGTCTTTTCGATCCTCTTCGGCGTGTGTGTGTGTGTGTGTATATGTGTTTCGGGGGAAATTTTCCATTATGAGTGTTTTACGAAAGTGAATTTTTTTTTTGTTTGCTTCCTTCGTCTTTGGCTCTTTTTTTTTCCTTCTCAATTTCGGATTTATTTCAAGGCGAATCTGGCTTTGGGGGAAGAGGAAGAAAAGTCGGATTACAAGATCAGCCACCACCAACAACAATAAAAACCACCAGGATATTTTTTTGCAAATTTCTGACGGCTTTAAATTCATGAAGCAATTGTCCCCTCTTGCAATCAGCATTTGGATCTCAGAATGAGCAAGGAAAGACCCAAGAGGAATATCATCCAGAAGAAATACGTAAGTGCTCCTAACAACACAGCCTCTGGCTTGCAGTTTTAAGCAATGGCTGTGAATGTCAAGTTTATAGATAATTCTGCAGCTGAAGGGCTTTAAACACAGCGTCCGAGAAGGCTGTTTTCTTTCTTTTCTGAAAGGGCTTCTCAGGCAAAGTCGTGTCTGCCTAGTTTGGCTGAAAAGCCAGATTGGTGTACGATATCTCGAGTGAATAAATTGACCTCGAATGACACAACCATAATCTAGTTTTAGATTGAAAGGCAAGGGGTTTTGGTGGAGCTTGGGGGTGGTGGTGGGGGTGCTGCGGTAAGGTAACTAAACTGCATTCTCCGGTGGATTTGGCCCCATATTGCACTTTGCACATGGAGATGAGGCCATGTTATTATTATTAATGCTATTTGGAAAATCGCGTAAGGCATGTGTGTTGGAAGCCCTTTTAAGTTCAATCGAGGGTCCGATTATGGCGATCTTCTCTCTGTACTGGTACATCGCATTTAATGTATGTGGTCGTTTTGGCTTATCTGGTTTGCAACATGAACCGGTTGGGAATCGTGTTACAGCATATGCATTTGTTGGAATTGACTTTAATAATGAGGCTGGTTTTGTTTAAAAAATTCATGGTTTCCAGTTTTAGGGGAAAAAGACACACACGCTGGCTAATGTTTTCAAGTATGTATGTTAATGCACATGGAAGTGACCACAAATAATTTTCCCCTGCTAACTGGGTTTGTGAAATTGGGCGATTATTCAGAGATTTGAATGGTTTGGGATAGTTGAATTTGTTTTGTGCATAGTACAGCTACATTTTGATTGGCATAGGGAGTGTTTTTGTTTTGTGTGTGGTGGCTTTTTTTTAAGTTTGGGGGGGAGGAATGAGGGGGACCGAGGGATTAACCAAATATGCACTGGAGTGATCGGTGATTAGCTAGCTGCATGCTTTAAAGGGCTTTAAAAAAAAAGGCCAAATGAACACATATTAGAAATATGTAGGATTATAAGAAAGTTTTATTTAAGTCGAGTGAACAAATTGGTGTTAGCATTTTCCCTTTCTCATCGGTGTGGTGTGTGTAATGGGAGATGACCTTCGGGGAAGTGGTTCTGTACAAAATATATTTAATGGAAAAGCTGAATGTGTCTTCTGGAGGCTGATGCTAATCTAGACACGTAAACTTCAACTAGGAAAGAAAGCAAGGTTCAATAATCGAGCCTAACTTAGAAAGCTGTTCCACAAAGAATTTAGGAATTAAAATACATCCGCATTGCAGAGGGCTGGGTGGAATGCAAAGGACTAGTTTAAACTCGGGCCGTAGAAACTGCATGGAGACAGCTTGCCTGAGCGTGGACGCCTTCTCGGGGCACGTCCGTTTCGGATGCAGGCACAAAGCAGACGGGGTAGAACTTGGACAAGAGCCGCCCCCGCCTCCCCATCCCGGACCTCGTCAAGTTGCAGCGCGGCATGGGCCGGGTTTTTGTTGCAGGCGGTCCGCTGGTGGTGTCGAGGCCGGGTGTCCAGCCGCCGGCCCGGAGGCAGAGCACGGGTTAACGTGCCCGGAGCGTAGCCTGTCCTCCCGACGGGCCCGAGCCGGCAGCGGAAGGAGGGCGCCCCGGGGTCGCGGCGGGCAGGCGGGCGCGCGGCCTGTAGGGGGCAGGCTCTGGGCTCCGGGCTCTGGGCTCCGGGCAGGCGGGCGCCGGGCTCCCAGGCCGGCTCGCGGGCGGGCAGGCGGGCGGGGGCGAGCACGGCGGGGCGTGCCGGGGCGGGGGCGCGCGGCGCGCAGGCAGAGCATGGCGGCGCGGCCGGCCTCGCCCGCTCCCCGCGGCCCTGCCCGCCGGCTCCGACGCAGGCTTCGGAGCAACAGGTTCAGCGGGAGAGACGTCGGCGCGGCCCCTCGCCAGGCCCCGACCCTCCCCGCGCCGCGCTCCCGTGCCGCCGGCCCCTCCCTCCGCCCCCCGCGGCTCCAGGCCCCCTGCCGCTCCCGGCCGCGTTCTGTTGTCATTGTGACGTCACAAAGGGTCGGGCCCGGGTGGAAACGTCCCCTCCACCGTGACGTCACAAGTCGGACAGGAGGTTCCAGGCGCCGCGGGGCTGCCGAGGGAGGGGAGAGCGGGGCGGGGGCTGCGGCGGCGCGGGGCTGCGGCGCGAGAGGAGGACGAGCAGGAGGATGCGCTGGGCCTTTGCGTTCTGCCGTGGATCGCTGCACTTCCCACCAGGTGAGCACAGGAGCCTCGACCCTCCGGAGGGTGCCCGAGGACCTTGCTCTGAGGCCACTTGGGTTGGGAGCGGGTCGGGGCGCCGCCTCCGCAGGAATGTCTCCTTTCCTCTGTACCAGTGCCCCTGATGGGTGTTGCGGTCCTGCTGAGCTCCTGCGCCACTCACCAGTGCTAGTGGAAAGGAAGGCGATTGAATTCAGCGGAAGCTTTGCTTTGTTGGCAGCCCATCTGGTGGATTCAGCCACTTTATCACTTTCTGTTGTGTGGGGGTGTGTTGGTAGGATTCGTCCTTTCTGGAAGACTTGCAAGTACCAGGGTTGAGATCTCTGTCTTGCCGTGCCTACTGAGTAATTTTGAGGGGCTAAGCTAGGGAAGACTTGTACATCTACGTAGAGGCACAGTGCGCCTCTAAGTTGTATGGTGTCTGGACGTAGTGCTTCTGCGCAGGGGCGAGGCTCACATTCTGGGTCTGCCTTCTCCTCTGGAAACTGGAAAACATCGTCTCTGCCTTTGCCGCTTGCAAGGCACCGAGAGGATCACCAGTGTGAGACATGTAACACAGGACGCCGCTTCATGTGTAAGATGGCATTATGGCATTGTGACTTGAGCTGGTGGAAGACAGCACATTGCCTACAGTTGATCTCAGAAGCCTTAGATGCCTGCCAAGTTGCCATTTAGTTTATTGCTTTAGGAAAGAAGAATTTGGGGGTATGATTGTGATGGTAGGCTTCGGGAGAAGTGATTGTTATATTTCTTATTAAGTGGCATCCATGAGAAACTCATAAATTGCAGGGTAATCCTGTCTTAATTGTGTTGGGCACGACTCCCACTACAGTACCTTAAATAACTGGAGACATTTGCCTTTTAAAGTCCCAATTCACTTGCATAATAAAAACAGTTGCATATTTTGCTCTGTGGATCATTTCTGTCTCTCCACTGATTGGTTTTCCTGGGGAGAATAACAGTATAACCAAACTTCACAATCATTTGATCGTTGCATTATAATAGGAGTTTAAAATAATAATAAAGAAAATCTGCCCCATGAAGAGAATACAGTTAAACATGGAACTAACTTGGAAAAAAAAATGACCGATTTGATTTCTAGGCCAGCTCAAGCAGAATTTGTACCACTAAACTGCAAGTTTTAAGTATTGTTTTCTGATGTACAAGTGGAGTTTGATTAAAAAAACCAGAGAAAGTTTGCCATGAGGTACAAAAGACATATTTATTTGCTGCAATTACATAAAGTTGGAAAAAACAAGAAAGAATTACATTGAAATATAGTGGTCAGGTTTATGAGTTCAGTTTTTGTTTGCTTATTCTTTTTTCCCAGTTTTTTTTTTTTTTTTAAGGTTTTATTTATTTATATGACATGTAGAGTTACAGACAGTGAGAGAGGTCTTCCTTTCGTTGGTTCACTCCCCAAGTGGCCGCAATGGCCAGAGCTGTGCCCATCCGAAGCCAGGAGCTGGGAGCCAAGCACTTGGGCCATCCCCCACTGCCCTTCCAGGCCACAGCAGAGAGCTGGACTGGAAGAGGAGCAGCCAAGACCAGAACTGGCGCCCATATGGGGTGCCGGCCCCTCTCCCAGTTTTAAACACATGTACATTTGGGTTATTCTGTAGTTATTTACTTGCTACCTCTTCCACTTTCTAATAGAAAGTCTTGAACTTCGTCGCAAGTCTAGGACAGACAATTCAGCAACCGTCTCTGTATAGAGAGTACTGAAGGTAATAAAATGTCACAAAAATTTTAAAATTAGAAATAAATTCATGTCCATAAAAATACAACTTGGTTATTAGCCCTTGGATGATTGACTTGTGGGTCTTCATAGCCACTGACCCAGATAGCCAATTGGAGTTATTTGGTACCTATAGAAGGTATAGTGGGTGTTTTTCCTGCACTGTAGGTTAAACCAGTCCCTGTTACTGGCTGAAGGCCATTGACTTGCTTCCAGGTGTCTTGGAAATAACCCCAACTAAAGTGTTACTATATCCTGCTCCAAAGGTCGTTTAAACTTTGGTTTTTCATAAAGAGATCTTTTCTAGTAAATAACTGGTATCTGTGACATTCAGAGTAGAACCAGTTTCCTCTTTTCCTTTCAAAGAAGACTGGGAAATTCATCCTACATTGAAAACATTTGGTAAAAGGGTAAATTGTAGTATTTTTAAGCTAGTGGTTTGTACTTGATCATGATGGTCATGTCCTAAAGCTCCTAATATTACTGGTACAAGTCTCAGTTTCACAGTAACAGCTAACCACCATCTCCCTCTATGTAACCTGCTAGCCTTTGGCTGCAGAATGTCCTGGGTGGCTGATAACCCTGCCTGAAGCTCTTGGCCAGTGGTTAGCTCTGGGGTGTGCCTTTGTCCCCTTTGGCTTTCACCCAGAAGGCTTGCCAAGTGTCAGTTGTTTGTTCCCAAATCTGGTTATTCCAGTTGGGCTTATTATTGTAATTACAGTTAAATATTATGTAAGCCTTGAAATTAGTGTGAAGAGTTGGTTTCTGTGAAAACTAAGTTGACTGTTTTGAGGAAGATGATACAAGTTGGTAAAAAAAAAAAAAAGGCTGTTCAATTAAGTATGGGCCAGACATTTAAAAAGATGTTGGGAAAAATATGTATGGATTCTTCATACACAGTGTTTTACAAGTGATTCCCTTTTAAGAACCAATTATGCCCAGATTCCTTTCCTAGCAAACAAAAAAGCATAAGGTGAACAAGAACTCTAAAAAGACTGGAAACCAGGAATAAGGCCTTATGTCCAAAAATTTGCATGTCAAAGTAGACTTAGATGTTGAAGTTGAAAAAACAGTACTAAGGAATGGTTTTTTGCCTAATGTGTTTGTTTCCATTAACTGACCAACTTCTGGTCTCTTACCTGTGATAAGAGTGTTGCTTACTGTGTTCAGACAATCCCCAAATACCAGATAAACTCCCTGTCTCATTCATGCCATGTAACATAGATAAAATATGGATCAGTTTAGAGTAGCCCCACTGAGGTGACCTGCATTACTTCTGGAGTTAAATGTGTCTTTCATTGGATGGCAGGAAGCAGGAAGATTACTGGTTTTATACGAATCCATGGAGTTCAGAAGCTTGTGTTTTGTAATTGGCCACTTGAATGGTACTCTCTTACTTAAGAGATAACTGCTAAAGGTCTGTTCTGTTGGAAATCCTTAAGTTACCATTAATGAAAATGAGGCAAGTCTCTCTAGTTTGAATCAGTTATCTTTTTTTTTTCCAAGCTTCAGATAACTGCAGTTTATTTCTGTGATTTGCTAACACAATCCCTCTTACATTCCCTGAGTCTTCATTTTTCTGGTTCCTTTTGCCCATAAAGCCTTTCCCATATTTGCAGTCTTTTTCATTCCCAGAGGTGGGAACTCTGGAGACTTTTGTTTTCTGAAGCTCTTATATCTCTTTCTCTGTAGACAGTTGGAGTGAGTGAGGTTTTTTTCATTATCCTTTTAAGTTTTAATCTATCTTGTGATGTCGGTCAACCCTGTAGCCTTCTGGCAGCCTCAGACTCTTTATAATAATTTTTTTTCCCCATTTAATTCTGTTTCAGAATAAAATCATTAAAAAAGTGGAGTTGACCCCCGTAGGAAGTCACCCACAGTTTTGCTTCTGGTGGAGGAATCCTGCCTGCTTCCAGAACTTCCTGTTCCTATCACTTTTTGCAGGTGGCTTTTATCTTTCTTGCTGTCTTAGAGTCAGAATGTCTGGGATTGGAAAGGGCCCATGTTTTACAGAGGCAGATATTGTCCCAGAGGGCAAAGTCTAGGTCATATCAGAGTGAGCAGCCACAGCTAGAGTATAATCCTGAGCCTCTGGGTCCTTGGGTTACTTTCCTTTTCTGCCACAGTTAGTCTTGCCACAGATGTCGCTGTTGTTGTGAGGATGCTGCCCACCTCTCCTCGGGCTCTGTGGTACTTGAAGGGCTTGGATCGTATAAAATCCTTTGAGACAGCCACGTAACACCTAACCCTTTCTCTCTCTCTCTCTCTCTCTCTCTCTCTCTCTTTCTCTTTTTTTAAAGTTTATTTACTTGGAAGGTAGAGCAACAGAGAGAGGGAGAGACGCAGAGTAAAGGGGAGAAAGAGGTAAGAGGTCTGCCATCCACCAGTTCATATCCTGAATATGCCTGCAACAGGTGTGGCTGGGCTAGGCCAGGGGGAAGCAAGGAGCCCTGGGACTCCATGTGAGTAGGAACCCAACTACTTGGGCAGTAATTGCTGCCCCTCAGGTACATTAGCAGGAAGCTGAATTGGAAGCAGAGGAGGCAGATCTCTAGCTGGCGGATAAGGGATGCAGGTGTCCCAAGCAGCAGCTTAACCTCCACTGCGTCACAGCACCTGCCCCACACCCAATCCTCTTGAAAGCCCTGTGAAGAGAAGACTCAATTCTGAAGTAACCACCCACATTTTTGGTTTTCATAGTGAGTTCACATGAGAAGGGCTTTTTGAGTCCATTTTACAGAAGAGAAGCCAAGATGAATATACTGGCCAGATGGTTAAAGGCTGAGATTCCTCCCCACTTTTTTGGTTTAGATACAATAGAGGTAAAATGAATGATCAGTGTAGCCCTGAGAAGGGGAGAAAAGGTCATAAAAAGAGCTCTTGATAGCCTTTGAAGAGGTGTTCTGCTTCAGAAAGTTGGGGAAGTGAGGGCAGGTTTGTCAGCTTCCAAGAACAGGAGTGTGTCAGTCTCAAGTACATGTTTGTGTTTGTTTTTCTAAAGCACCAGCTGGTGGAGCTACCCCCTTATCCCCAGCTGGCTGTCTTCTTTAGTCATCATTGGAAGAGAGCTGAGATAGATCCCGGTACTCCTTGGGACTGGCTAATTATGTACTATACTTTCAGAAGTGTCCCCAGGACTGTGGGGTGCACCTGATGGCCATTGTAGACTGCAGAGGTAGGTTCTCCTGACTTATCCAAATTGACTTAATTTCCCAGTGATGTGATGAAGTTGGCTTCAGTTCTCGAGCCTTTACTGCTC